ATTCCTGCTAACATCTGCTTTGTGGTTTGCATTTTTTTTAATAACTTGCCATTTTGCATAGATGAGCTAGTCCTAATTCTGTTTCGTACATTACTACTGAAATCTTCTGATACATCCAGTTTAGGTACGGTTTTCACATGGGACTATTGGCTATTTCTGCTCCAACTTGGATGGAAGTCCAGAGATTTGTACCAGGCTAGGGACAGAGTTTTTAGAGGATGTGCCATATATACTACATTTCTAGTTATTACCCTTTGCTCAGTGAATCAGGCAATAAAAATTTTAACAAAGTACAAATGTATTATTTTTAAAATAAATGTGGTTGTGTAATCTATTTAATTTCTTTCATCCCAGTCAACAAAAATCAGAAAAAATTTCATTATGTGTATGGTGAGTGAAGCTAGAACAGTCTAGTAAAGTGACAGGGTATTTCAGAATGCAAATTTTAAGGGATGAACAGTAATTCTTATCTCTGAGCGAAGTCGGCAATTTCCTGTTTATTTCTGCATATGAAAAAACTTGAATTAGAGCTGAAAAATGAGACCACAAAGAATTGCAAGGGGGTACTAAGCCAGGTTTTTTAAGGGAAAAAAGGAAAAGCAGAGTGTGAGTTATTTTCATAGCTTTTGGATGTGAGTATACATCAAATATGTGACTTGAGCAGTGAGCAGCTGAACTTAACTACAAGATGGTCTAAGTGTCTTTTAAATTAAAAATTATGATCCTCACATTCACGTATGTAATGTGCTAAGGGATGAACATATTACATCTGCATATTCTTTTTTATATACAACAAATTACAGTGTATTATTGTTTTACTTAAAGAATGTCACATGCAGGAATACTGTCTTGTACCATATGACTTGTACGATTAAAGCATACTGCATCCTACAAGATAGTAGATCTTGGCTTTAAGTCCTGTGATAAGCTCTTGTCAGTGCTAAGCTGGACTGAGCAGATGAGGTGGAGGAGATGCAGGCTAAGGGGCAACTTACTGGCTTGGCTAGAGGTGGCTTTAGTTCCTAGTTTTGGCAAAAATAGAGGCTAAAGTTAGATCAGACACACAAACACAGGTAGATGTTTGGTCAGTTCATGGGCTACTCTCAGGATAGTGCTTAGCATCTTGTTTAGGATCTGCATGGAACTGGAATCGGGATGATGGCCCTAAGTTGTAATTAAAAATGGGATTGGTTATAACTTGTTATCATCCGGAGATGTTCCGCTGTTAACAGTAATTGGGCCACGTAAATTAATCAGTTTGAATGACTTGCTGACCGCTTCTGGACCACTGCTTGTCGTTTGCATCTATCTTCCAGGAATGATTTGTCTTGATGTGAACTTTTCTTCCATTTCTGAAACTGGGTTGGGCCTAGTAAAATCGTTTGGTTGTAAATATGAAAAGCAGCAAATGCCTGTGACTATATAGTTTATCAGCAGTACAGCCTGCCTCCTGCAAGAGTACTTCTAGGTCCACAGAAAATCAGAGTTCAAACGCTGGAAACTTTTTTTTCTTGCACCTATCATACACAGACTGGCTGATTTTTTTTATAACATCATTTTCCTTTCACAGTGAAGAGACTGCTACTTGATACGACTATAAAAAAAGTATTCCTTTTAATAACAGCATGAGAAATGGTGAAACTATTCTTAGTCAACCTATTTCACAGTGATTATATGTTTCTTGCAGTTCAAAGATTGTAAAACAAAAGGAAGGAAGCCAGTTTCTTCTCATTGACAATATTGTTTTTCAGAAGTAAAAAAAAAAAGAGAGAGAGAGAAACAAAACCCAACCAAAACTAGTAATTTTTTTTTTAAGTCTTAGAGGGTAAGGAAAGATTACTTGCCAGAAAGAGACACTTTTGTTTGCAGAACAACATTTATTCCAGCCTTTATCACTGTATATTGTCTGTGTACATAATTTCCCATGGCTGATACAATGCTTTACCTTTGCTTCTCACAGATGCCTTCCTTGATCTCTCTAGGGGAATATTTGAATTTCATGCACAATTTAGAAGTTTTGGGTGTTGCACTGCTATCTTGGAGAGTTGAATTTGACCTGCAGAGTAAGAAGTACTCAGATGAAAGATGCTATGTTAGAATTAATATTCAGTTACATTGTCTCAATGTGAAAATGCTTAAAGTAATTATAATTGATGATGCTGTTAGAGTAGGTGTACTTATAGATGTAGAAGTCACATGTAACTTTTGCATGACAGAGTACACTGTGATTATACAATGTACAATTGGATTTTTTGTTGTCTGTAAAGCAAAACCAGTTGGATAGTACCTGATAAAATATTTTTGGCCATTGTAACTATTATTTTTTAAATCAATAGTTGATTTCTAGGAAGGGTGCCATTCAGAGCTGGTTTGTCCCCGCTGTCCCAGTGCAGCAATTGGGATTTGTAGCTTCAGTATCTGTTGGGTAGAGGTCAAATAAAAAATGCATTACGAAGGTTCCATTAAAACCCTGAAGGAAATATCCACTCACCATGGGAATGTCATGTCCCTTGTACAAAGGAGAAAATGGAAAGAAAATTAAGCTGGGAGAACTTTCCTAAACCTGCCTGCTCTTCTATGAGTAAATCCAGTTGTTCTTCTGTGCAGTTTCAGGCTTTCATTGAATAAAAAGGTTCTGTGAAATGTATTAGGGTGCGTGCTGTACTGCAAATACAATACTGATTAGAAATAACACGCATACTGCCTGGAAATATAAAATAATTTATATGAATTCAAAGGCTATATATGTACATGGTTTTAGAGGAAAAAAAATAAAATAGCTGGTGCAAAATATTATATACTATGGAAACTGATACAGGGGAACCTAAGAGAGAGCACATTCTTTGCTCTAACATATATTAACTGTTTTTTCGGGGAGAGCTTTTATAAGAGTATGGAGTTTTGCCCTAAAAATATAATCTGCTTTAAAGCACAAAAATATCAACTAGGCTGGATCATCCTCACCCATTTCGCCCAGGGAGGGCGAGGAGGAAGGTTGAATCATTCTTCCCATTCAGGTACCCAGGTACAGCAAAGGCAAGATGAACTCTTGGTATTCCCTGGAGGTAGGCTCTGTAACATGCCCATTATTTTCCATGTTACCCACAAAGAGAATCAGTGTGATGAGGTTCACCAATTCCTACTTTTTCAGTTCAGAATAAATCATTCTGACTTATAGCTTGATCATCTCTATAAAACAAATTTTACCTTTTGAGACACCCGAGGCAAGGTTTCCATTTATAATCAAAGACAGTATTAACATAGTATCTTAAGCATGACTCTGCCAAGCAGCAGTCACTGCACGCTACCTTGAATAACTACCTTGAATGTTATTGGTTGTTGTTATTTTCCTATCTTGTGTTCTTGAGACCCACGTGTGTGTTACTTCGAACCGTAACGAAATTCTGTGGGATACTGCAAGCAACACTGGAGGTTCTTAGCATCTGCCTTTCTCTTGACCAAAGGGCTAAATGCTAAATCACAAAATTTAACCTGTTTTGTACATTTGTCATCTTCTTCAGGAATGTGGCTTTCAAAAGCAAACAGATCTATGAAAATACACTTAATGCTACTATTCTGGGAAACTCTACATCTTTATATTATACTTCATAGTTTACAAACACACCCACCCACCTTCTCCTGTGGAACTCAAAACTGCTTTCTGCTAAGCCAGTAGCTGTCCTTTCTGTTTTTCTCATCCTCAGTATTACGTTCATCCTGCATGTGATACTTTGCTAAACTATTTGCTGTTTACTTTGAATACTTACGCTTTGCATAGTTCTGTAAGTACAGATTTGTATTTATCTAGGTAGCTAAATATCTTGTGGGTGACAGTCAGTCCATACTGGTTTATGCTTTCTTTCTAGAGCCTGTGCCAGCCCACAGAGACTGGCAGAATGACATGGACAGCAGCCCACAAGAACATCACTCCCTAGGGACCAGTCGACTGCTGTATCACATTACAGATGGAGACAATCCTCTTTTGTCACCACGCTGCTCTATCTTTAGCCAAAGCCAGAGATTTAATCTAGACACAGAGTCTGCCCCTTCTCCACCAAGTGCTCAACCTTTCATGATGTAAGAGAATATATTTCTTAGATATTTTGAATAATTTTTGTACAATCCATGATCTTTGACTCTTCATGTTTTTTTCAGTTACTGTGATGTCATAAACTGGAAAATTTCACATTGTAGCATATTTCGACATGGTTAATTTGCAATACCAGAAATGGGATCTAGCATTTTTTCAGTAATAACACAGTACAATATTGTTTGAAGTCTTTGTTAATTATAGATAGCAAGGACAATTTTAAATGTTAGTTAGTAATTACTCTGATGAGTGAACGTAAGATTGGGAGGCCTATCAAAGTATAATACTAAAAATTTCAGCTGTAATAGAACTATAGCTTGAGTCATTCACTAGATATGCGGCCATCACAGAACATACGAACAGTTCATACATGTGATAAACCAAGCTGTGAGTTTCAGACAGAAACCAAACTTTCTTAAAAGCTTATGTACATAGCTGTCAGCTGCATATGAATCCGAATCAGTTCTATTGATTTGCAGTTGTAAACAATCAGAAACTAAACTGCCTTCAAAGTGATAATGTTTATTCCCAGTAATAAAAAAATCCCTCGGTTTACTTTTACAAATCATGTCCTTAGCGTCTCCCGCTAGAGTTGGAAGATCTGTGAAGTAAGATGCAGGAGTTAAATGTAAATACTGGGCCAGGTTGTGACCTATTAGATTAAACTTTTGAAAAATATTCAGAAATCCCACAATTAATTAAAAAGAGAGAGAGAGAAAGACAGATGGTGAACTCATTAGTATGCCCTAGGGGTACCTTCAAGCAAAAGCAATTATTTTATGCTTACTTTGTAAAACTAAACCATCTCTATCCTGTGAAAGAACCTAGCTGCAAATGCTGAAGTGTTAGGAAAGTGTTAAGTGTGCCTGAAACAAGGCACGGTCCATTATAGCCGGTTCTTTGATCCAACTACTATGCTTTTGGCGTTTGCAGGCCAAGAAGTTCTTCTAGATGTAACTGTGAAGAGTGCAAAGAACCACAAACAGTAGCACAACTTACCAAGCACCTTCAGAGTCTCAAGAGAAAAATAAGGAAGTATGAAGAAAGGTTTGAGCAAGAAAAAAAATACCTGGTAAGTTAATAATTGAAAAGATAAAGGGTAATACTACAAGAGGCAAGCAAGAATCCCAGTGTATCTATTCTTATGCAAAACAATGGGACAAAAGGCATTTTTGGTAAAATGAAATAGGAAAATCATCAATGAGGGGATATCTTTTTATCATCTTTCAGTGTAGGCAGCAGTTATGAGAGTCTTTTTCTTTGGATTACCTTTGTTGCAATTTATCCATCTTTTGGTGTGTGAGAAGTGTGAATCAGTGAAATACAGCCGACAGGCTTGTGAACCAAAACAATTCAAAAGATGAAAAGCTACTTACTTACTTTGTAGAAGTCATTTGCTTGGAAACCCTTGCTCTGCTGTGCTGATTCCTTCATTCAGGCAAACTCTTGTAAACCTCCACAGCACAGGGCTCAATGGAAGCCCATGGCAGAAATAAAAATTGTTGTGTGTTGCTGGTAGGGGATTGTTTGAGGTCAATGGCATGCTCCGTGTGGTATATGCAAGACCATCACTCTTATTAAGATAGTTTGTGTAATGTGAATTGTGCAGTATAAACATATCAAAACATCCGTGACATTAAGGATGTGTACAATATGAAACACGGAAGTTTGTGATATTTTATGACCACATTAAAATTCAGCAAATTGTGTATTACCTTGTAATCTCATCAATGACTGCAAACTTAAAGGTACATTTGTAAATTGTACTACCCTATGGTCATCATATACTCCTAGGAGTAAAATTCCATGCTTAAACAGACACCACATTGTGACCAGAAAAGAATTTATTTCGGTAGTTTAGTTTTGCAAAACTGTTTTGCCATTTTAAATGTCTTGAGTTTTGAAGATGCAGTGTAAACTGATTTTAGTTTGGAGGCAATTTCTAAATGCAAAGAACGAACTGATATGCAAAGTTTTTGTTGTTTGTTCCTTTTGAAATCACTCTGTTGCGCAGGATTTTTTTCATTTGATCAGTTAAGCAGTACAGTTGAAATGGTTAAAATGCTGTTTCCCAAGAGAAGCCCTGTCTTAAAGCATTAAGGGCTTATCCCTGCAAGGGACAGAGTGCTTCGGTTACCATCCTGCAAATCACTTAGGAACTTGACTAACATTAGGTATTTGATCAGTCCTTTTGAAGTCACTGAGATTACTTACCCAATTAGTCAAGGACTTCAATGTTTTTTTAGGATCAGAGCCAAAATACTGGATCCATATAGCACTGTGCCACAATGGGGAGAGATAAGGCATGATAAATTAGTACCATGATCAAGCCAAATGCTCTGCATGACACATTGATATAGTGCAGTTGGAACTACAGGCTTTTTTTAGCACAATGCGTGTGGATAGGTTTTTATCCATTTGACTGTATAACCATCAATTCCTTCTTTTTGCTCTTCCTTTTACTTTACATTCAGCCTTCACATGGTGACAAGACGTCCAATCCTGAAGTTCTGAAATGGATGAATGATTTGGCCAAAGCCCATAAGCAGCTGAAAGGTACATAACAGCATGTCATTTCACTTTATTGCTGAAGCTTTTGGAAGTATGAGACCTGGAATATTTTAGAGTTAGTTTTCTAACCTCAGTGCTCTGCTTATTTTTCACTAGTGCGTGGCAATAAGCCTCCCAATGACAAAGATACGAGCTAGTATGACTTGCCTTGATTCATGAAAGCAGTGATTAAAATAAGACTGCTGAACTCTCATAACAAGGCGGGGAAGGGGAAAAAAAGACATTCTCTCTCCCTCAGAATTATAAAAATTCATGCAAAAGAAATGTTAGTCCGAATATTTTTGTAAGTGTCTGAAATACAGTACTACAAAGTTAAAAGTGTCCTTGTGATAGTACAAATGTAGGTGCAAAATGTTTCCTTAGGACTGAGGTTACACAACCCTAAAGCTTTTATTTTTCTTTTTATCATAAAAATGGATCTTTCCCAGGTATTAGATTTGGTCTTGAGGTTCAAGTTTTGCCCTTGACTGTCTGCATACCACTCCACTAACGTCTGTGAGTTTATCACATGCTTGCCCTCAGGGAGAATGTAGCCAGGACTGATTGATTTTTTTTTTTTTTTTTTGAAAGGTTATTTAGAATTCATCTAAATCTTTTTCCCCATTATAAATGGATTCTCACTACTAACTAAATTGTAGTATTATGTTTCATCTCTTGTTTTGGATATTAGCTTAACTATATGGATATATAGTTAAGAATGTAGATACAGAGGGTGTGATTGTGGTAAATAAAGAATTAGAAACTCATCTTCCAGTAAATTTCTTCTGGAAAGTTCTTCCTTAAATACTGGGCTGCCTAGTTACTAGATTTCCACCCCCGCCACCCTTGAACTCTGTGTTACAAATCCAGGAAGGACAAATGAGAGGAAATGGCCAAACTACATAGTTAACTTTCTGAAAATTATCTGATTGAACCACTGCTTCAGCTAGCCAGGGGGTCTGGCTTTCACAGATCAGCCTCACCTTCATACCCAAAGTGCCTTGGTCCTGTGAACACCCTTGATTTTATTATCCTGAATAATGACACCGCTTTTAAGTGAAGCAAGATTCATGAGGTTCATGAGACAGGAGGAACTGAAGTGGAAAAGCACTCAAGTGCTTGTAGGTCCTTATTCAAGTTCGTAAGGCTTGTCCATCCTTCCTAGCTCTATGGGTTTAATAAAAATTACTATTTCTCCCTACAAACCTGGCCTGTGTCCTCAGATTGTAACAGCTAAAAATGATGTTACTGTTTCTGCATGGATTTCAATAAATTTAACACATTTGGAGCCATCAATCTCCTGCCTTGCCCAAGGTCCTTCACCAGCCAGGCACACTCTAGGAACAAAGCCTGGTTTTACGGGAGCTGATTCAGACCTCAGTTCAATTTCATCATTGCTCTGTGCAGGTCCCTGGAGCTCCAGGGCCTTTGGTGTCAAGCTAATACACTTACATACTCTACTGCATCTAGAGACGTTGCTGACTGCGAAGCTAGGACACACTGTAACCTGTATGTCTTCTGCTGGGTTGCTCAGGTGCTCGTCTGCCAAGGGAAGTCATTTAAGCAAAGTGGCCGATTCTCAGTAGCCTGGCTGGGCTAGGCTACTAGCCTAGCATTGCATTAACCAATGCAAGCCCCTGGAAGGGAGGGTTATGGTTTAAATTGGGCTGGTTATGCAGACCTGGAGTACGTGGCTCCAGCAGCCTGGCAGCTGGCACAGCGGGCTCTGTGGCACAGCTTAGCCTCTCCAGCCCTTCTCAGGGGAGGGCCTCCACCCCCCTCCTCACTTGTGGAGTGGCACAGGAGGGCAGGCCAGCACAGCTGGGGTGAGAGTGCGGCAGGTGGCTGCGGAGACACTGCCTCTTGTCCAGGAAGGCGTCTGTGAAGGACTACATCCTTGCACAACAATCCCCACAGCTGACTTAGACATGTTCTTACTTACCCAGACATCAGATCAATTGTGGGTGCATGGGTTTAGTGAGGAGTAGGGAGAGAGCGAGCGAGCTCTGCTTCCATATCCCACCCACATCAAACCTCCCACAAATACTCTCCAGCGCTGTTTGTCCTTTCAAGCCCCTTTCCTATCCCCACTCCCACTGAAATTCTGCACTGATTCCTACCCAGACCCCACTCTTCAACCCAGTGCCCCTTCAGTCCTCACCCATGGTAGCACCTCATATGTCAAAGACTGGCTTGGAGGAAACAGAGACGTACATATGGGCTATAGGTTTCACTGGCCTGGACACATCTCATCCCTTGACCATTGGATTTCACTTTAACCAGGTAAAAGATGTTACACGTTGAAATGAAGCAGTTACTTTCCTACACAACAGTGGTGTGGTAATAATTGCATGCAAGAAGTGGGATGTTTTTTTTCTTGTAGTGTCAGAGGAAACTTCCTTGCAAATATTTCTAATACATTTATTTGCCTTTCAGAGCTGAAACTCAGAATGTCAGAAGAGCAAAACTGTACTTCTAGAGCACCCCAAATAAATTATCATTGCGAAAGCACTGGGACCTCTAAAGAGGCTGGGACACAGGCGGCCATGAGCACAGAACCAGCTCCCTCAGTAGAAGAAACCATGGATAGTGTATTGAGACGATTAAAGGAGAAAAGACAACATTTTAACTTCCCTGAGACTATTAAGGTACTTAACAAGTATGGCTGTTTCTTTCAGAACTTTGCCATCTGAGGCAGATAGCAGTTAGTGTGTAGCTGTCTCGGGGTATGCTGGTGGGTGTGCATCCTGTGTCTTCTGGCACTGCAGTGCATTTTCTCTCCAACAAGATGGGAGCTCTAGTGCAGTTTTCTTTTCTGTGAAGAGCTGCACAGAAAAAGAGGTGCAGAAGGTTTTTTCAAATAGTGCTAAGCACTTTTTTCTCAGAGATGTGTGTATAAAACTCTTTGCCAGACACTGCTGAAACTTGCCTGCCTGAGGTTGTGTGCGCAGGAAGCGCATATTCCCGTGTATTGAAGATGGTGACAGCAAAAGCAATCCTACCTTGAGTCCACAGAAGCTGTGCGACTAAAAATGTTCCTGAGGTTATTTTGACAGTAAAGGTCCCCTCTCACCTGAGAAATATTGAAAGCCTCTGCCCAGTCAATAGCACTGCGCTAAGATGCACAACCATCCAGACTGCTTTGCCCTTCTGATCTTGTACGTTTACTCGTGCTGATACTGCCCCTGCTCTGCCACGTTCTCAATTCCTCTTCTAAATTTAGAAGCAATATTCCATGAAACATGCACTTGCTTGGCTGGGCAATTTATTGTTGTTTTCAAACTAGTACATATTTCAAAATTCTGCTGTACCTTCACACTACTGGCACATTATAGGGTCTGTCTGAAGTTGTTGTTCTGCAATACATACTGTCCATAACAATGCTTTTGGGGGGTGCTATTTTTGCTTTCAAATGATATTGCTATTCCTGATGCAATACAGTCAAGCAAAGCAAGACAATAAGTTCCATCGTCAAAGGTACCTAAAATCTAAATGTTGACAGTAACATTTAGACTCTGGCTGATGAATGAAAAAGGGGAGGGGGTGATGGAGACAGGGAGGAGTGAAGAAGAATGAAATGCTAAACTATGTGAGAATGAAGAAATTATTCGGGGGG